CATTTGCATCCAATAGGCTTGGATCCCGGTGGTAAATCAACAAGTTCCCAAGTATTATTGGACATTATTGAATCCATTTCATCCTTAATTGCTTCTTTCCAAAAGGTGCTATCACGAGAAGCCATAGGTTCTTTATAAATCTTAGAGTCAATTTCTACTTGTAGAACAAAAGGAATTATTCTCACAACATTCAACTCATTTCTCTCTACTAAGTAAAAGGAGATAAGATGAGAATCGATTTCATTCGATCCCAAAGACTTCTCAACTCGAGTTCTCTTATTTCTTCGTGGTTCACTAGACTCATCAACATCTTTAGAATATATTTCATCATGTGTTCCACTTGAGTTAGGGATATTTTCAAGATTTTCCCTCAATTCATTATCCGAAGATAACGAATCCTCAAAGAACTCCACATCGTTGGATTCGATAATGACATTGGATTCCAAATTTAGTAATCTATAAGATTTGCTATTGTTTACATATCCAACAAAGGCACATTTAATGCCTCTTGGACTTAATTTGGTCCTATTAGGATTCGTGTTCTTGCAATAGGCAAGACATTCCCACACTTTGAAGTATCAAATGTTCGATTTTCTTCCTTTCCACAATTCATAAGGAGAAACCTTAGTATATTTTGAAGGAATCCTATTAAGTATTCTACATGCACTTAATAAAGCTTCACCCCACAAGTTAAATGGCAACTTAACATGAATAAACATGACATTTATCATTTCTACAAATGTTCTATTTTTTCTTTCAGCCAAGCCGTCTTGTTCGGGTGTCTTAGGTGCAGAACATTGATGAATAATTCCATGTTGTTCACAAAACAAATTAAAATCATTGAAAAATTATTCACCACCTCTATCACTCCTTAAAATTTTAATTTTCTTTCCTAGATAATTTTCAACCTCATTCTTGTATGTCTTAAACATGTCAAAGGCTTTACTTTTATATTTTATCAAATAAACATATGTATATCTAGAAAAGTCATCTATAAAAGTTATGAAATATTTATTTCCACCTCTAGTTAACATACCATTAAGTTCACATATATCAGTATGAATTAATTCTAAAATACTAGAGGTTCTCTTAACACTTTGATATGATTTTTTAATCATTTTAGATTCTACACATATTTTGCATTTATGTTCGTCATTTTCTGAGATCGAGTCATATTTTTTCATGCGTTTCATTGTATTTCTACCAACATGACCTAATCTAGCATGTCATAATGAAAATTAATTCACAATATAAGCAAAATTACTTTTATTCATTTCATTTTCAACGGTATATAATTTGACCATTCCTTCATACGAATAGCCTTTTTCCAACAAATTTCCCATTAAGGGATAGTACAAGTTTGTCGGACTCATAAACACATTTGATGCCCGATTTTCTCAAGAGATTGCCACTAACTACGTTCCTATTCAAATCCGGAACATGTAATACATTAGTTAGAGTAACGATTTTCCCGGAAGTGAAGATAATGTCTACACTTCCTTTTCCAAACACCTTAGACCGCATCTCGTTACCTATTTGAATCTCTTGTTCTCCATCCACTTCTTGATAAGTTTTGAACAAAGAATTATCATATGATACATATACCGTAGCACAAGTATCATACCACCACCTGTGAACATTTCCTTTGATTGCGTTTACTTCACTTATCGTGGCCACAATTTTGTCATCTTGGGTAAAATTCACTTTGGCCTCGAAGTTGTTTTGTTTTTGGTGCCTACATTCTTTGGCATAGTGACCAGATTTTTCACACACAAAGCAACCTCATTTTGTCTTCTTCTTGGACTTGTTAAAGTTCCTAGAAGGCTTCATTTTGTTGGATTTTGCCAGTGGTTCTATTTTTTCCACAGCATTTGTTTTAGAAGAGCCCTTATGAGAATTTTCAGTTTTATCACGTATTCTCGATTCCTCTTCGATTCGAAAATGCTTTTGCAATTGTTCCAAAGAATAATCTTCGAAACTATGCATGATTTTCTTTCGATATCATTTCCAAGTTCCGGGAAGTTTTGCAATTATAGCCCCCACTCGAAAGGTCTCCGGTATATCAATTTGCATCGCCTTTAATTTGTTGACAATCACTTGCAACTCATGCACTTGGAGAAGAACAAGGATATTTTCTAAGAATTTAAAATCACAATACTGAGAAACAAAAAATTTCTTCGTACCTTCTTCTTTTGCTTTGTACTTACTTTCCAATGTTTCCCAGATTTCTTTCGCCGAAGTTGTATTGGTGTATAGATCATACAAACGATCCGACAATGCATTCAAGATGTGGCCACGACAAATCAATTCATCTTCTTGGCGTTTTTGTCTCTCGGTCTTAATTGTTCCAGATTCTCCATTCGTTGGTTCTGGCAAAGGCGCTAAATTTGGATCAAGAATATAAAAAATCTTCAACGCCGTTAGGAGGAATTTCCACTTGTCTTGCCACCGCGTGAAGTTAATCCTGTCAAAACGATTCAATCTAACCAGATCTTGATTCATGAGTTTGATGGTTGCCATACTTGTATCATTCTCCATCGCAGGATATAGTTTAAGATTGTTGGAAAATAAGGGTTTGGAGAAGAAACAACAACAAAATTACAGAAACAAAATGAATAGAAATCACAAAATACGTCAAGAACGAATTTGAGGCTTGAACACGGGATCGTTGTCCTCAAACTATATTTGCCCCCTTTCGAGATTGAATGAGATGCTTAAGGATTTTGGCAAACGATTTGTAGGATTATATCAAACCTTGTAAAGGATTTAACACCAAAGCACAAGTGCAATCCTCCAAAGCTTTAAGAACATAAAGGAAGATCTTGAATATGAATGTAAATCAATAGTTTGATTCAATATGGAATGATATATGGATCTCAAGATGTTTTCAATGATTCTAATAATTTTTGTATTGATCATTCATCACCTATTTATAGGTCTCAATCAATACATCACGAAATGGTGCCAAAATAAGATGAAAAGTGCAATTTTTAATCCAAAACGGCTCCCAAGTTTCAAATTGAAAAATCAACCAACAGCTATTTTTTAACATTATGCGTACGCATAGTATAAACTGTGCGTACGCATAGTAGAAGCAAAATTTAATTCTGATTTTGTCAAAACACATCTCGCGTACGCACAAAATTAAACCTGTGCGTACGCATAGGTAAAAATTCAAATTTTGCTTTTTTCAATTTCTTTTGATTCTACCAAATCTACAATTGAGCTCAATAATAAGTATATTATCATTCCATTCATTTTGAACAAATTTTCAACATTCTTTTCTGGCATCTATTAACAAACCACAAGGCATGTTTTTTAAGGACCATGCTAATCATCACCTTAAGACTTGAAATCATCAATAAGGTCATGACGAATAACAGAAAATTCCAAAATATTCTCCATGCAGGGGGGACTATATGGAAGATGAGCAGCATAAACTGGACGAAGAACTCGAATTACCTGCATACAGCAGCAGTTTTAACTCGAATCACTTGGGAAATGGGCATCCATTGTAAGTGAAAAAAAGAAATTTAACCATCTTAAGCTATTAATAGGATTTTAAAATATCCCCAAACAAAGCGTATTACAACTCTTCGTTGAATGCTTATACATATTGAAAGCACTAACGATACCTTCACATGAAGTAAGTAATGCCATGTTTGGAAGCTTCAGAAGAAACTAGCAGTATTTGCAAGAAGTTAATCTTACCACACAGCTGGTGCCAATGGAACAAAAGTGAGATTTTTCTTCCCATTCTCCATTTGCATATTTAGTGTCTGGCAAATGATATAAATTAGAGAAAATGCTATAATAGCTATTATCCAAGATCATGGGTGAACTATTGACATTTCACAGGGAATTGTCCAAGTAAACAAGAACTAAGAATGTGCCACAGGATCAATCAATGTATTATACTAGTGAGAGAAGCTCTCTATATTGTTGACTTACCTGTTTGCAAAGATCTTCCAGAAATTCGGATAATGCAATGGGCTTTATGTTATTGAACTTAGCAATGAACGAGTGCTTTATTATATCCATCATCACCTCACATACATAAACAACAAGTGCACTCCGAAAGATATAACTGGAAAAAAGGTATATTATGAGGCCACAAATATAAAACTAATTTAAAGTCTTCATTTTTCGTTTTTTTTTTTTTTTTTTTTTTTGGTACTTCATCAATCTAATTACTGACAAAGAGAGAACTTTCAAACCAAGGGCCCTCAGCTTCGAGGATATTTTGAGCTAAAACAAACAAGACAAATGCCGAAATATGGAACCTCTCAACTGAATCTGGTCATGTCAAATTGAGTAAAGAATTGAATGTTATATGAAAGGCGATAAATTGTTGAAAAAAGAAACTAATGGAAACTGCAATAAAAGGTGAACAAAGAAATACACGAGCAAATATGCAACCAAAATGAAAATTAAATGACACCTAAATCCTTTCAATTTTGGAAATGTGAATATTCGTGAGAATTATACAAAAATAGAGAAAACAAGTGAGCATAAGCGAAAACATAAAAATCAGTTTACCATAAGAATTGCTCTAAACCAGATGCTTTAGAGTAAGGCGTCGATGTTGAGCATGCGGGAAAGAAACAGACGTATCTGACACTTTTATGAACTCATGTAATTGTCAATAAAATTCACGAACTAAAGACTTTTAAGAATATAATAGGATGTAGTCTGAGTTTAAACACTGTGAGCTGCTTTATACTTTTAAAAAATATAAATCAAAGATAACAAACAAAGAATTATTCCCAATAAAATAGGAGTTGTGTCATTTTAGTTCTGTTCACGATGTCATTTTAATTCACCACTTATTCACCCAAATGATATGATAAAATCAACTTTTTTCAGCCACAAGGGATTATATTAATTCTTGTTTAATATCAGAATTTAATTGTAAGGCATTTCAAATGATAGCAAAGCATGGAATGGACTAAAAAGAATATTTAAGCAAGAAAATAACTTACCAAAATATACCAAACTGTGGACATTATCCTTGCTGTAGCGTTTAAACACATTGCTTTTTATCTCAGCGAAATTACTTGACACAAGCATACAGAACAATGCGTTGTTATGAGCAACAATACATGTTGACAAAGTAATAGCCTGAGCTAATAACATATATGAATCGATAAGTACGATTAGTTAAGGAACTACAGTGACTCAAGGGTAACCAATTATACAGATAGAGACCAATACAACATGATAAGGATATTTGAAGAAGCCACTGCTAACATTTCATCAGAAATAAATCTCCACAGCCAGATTTACATGTTTTCTGGTGAAGAATTTGCAATTCCATCTGCTGAATGGAATAGAGCTTGCAGTACATCACCACCAAAACTCTGACATGACTTATCAATTATCTGTTTGAAGGGCAAAAATCAATTATGTATCTGTCAGCTTAATTATTCGAGCAGCATCCACATATTTGAACAAGTGATGTAAAAGCAATAATAGCCGTAGCTATTAAGAGTTCAAGCCAAATGACTATATGGAAATGCTTTTGAACTCTCAAGTGAATGCGACAAGGGCATGGAAATTGTAACTCTTGAATCTCTGAAGTAAATGCAACAAACTATTTTGAGAGAGATTTTCTCGGTGTTATTGATGAGGACATCCAATTTTAATTAATTTTAGCAATTTTAATTATTTTAGTTGGAATTTAGGTTATTTTAATTTTATGGACTTGTGTATTGGGCT